CATTTTGCAAAACGTATTTTCTGGCACTGACTCTCCTGTGGATATATGCAGAATGTTTGTAAGAATGTATATGTCTCTCTCACACTGAGAATTACGAAGCAATAAGATTCTCATTAAACACTGAAGGATTGTCATTTATGAGACAATAACCACACTTTCTAGAGTTAACTTAGAGAACATTCTACCAGATATACACGTGTAGAACACCAAGTATTTTTGTAAATTAGGTTGTGAGAGCAGAAATTCATCTACCCAGTTTATCATGCCATCACATCGTCTGTTCTGCAGGGGTGCTCATTATTTGAGAAAGCCCCTGAAGATTCTCACAGCCCACCCAGAGCAATGACAAGAAATGCCCCTCTCCCTTTCAAATACCTGTACTTGATCCGATTTTAATTCTAGTGCATTCTTGTTTTAGCAAATCCTTCTAAAGGGCTAATGGTGGAAAATAAAAACTTTCATGACCACCAAGAAATAAAATCATATGCTCACACATGCATACATTTGATGTATTTCTTTAGCCTACCATTGTTACTTCTTTTTAACTTTTAAGCCAGGGGTCATTGAGATCATGTCAAACAATGAACAGTGCCCAAGTTTGCTGACAACCTCAGAGATCTCCCTATCAAGGAGTCTGAATACCAATGATAAAAAGAGTTAGCTGGTTTAGGTGAATTGGTAGGGAAGCCCCTATTATCTCCTTGTAGACTTGGAGTATGAAAGAATAGAATAGTCAGGATTTTTAGTTCATTGGTTAGATTGTTTATCACTTACCTCTTCTTAGTCACATTTTACAATTTTTGAATAAAATATTAAAAATAATTTTAAATCACTTGAAAAATGATTTTAAACCCCATATTACTTGAACATGAAAGGCAATAAGCTATTCTGTGGCTCAGCCATTATCTTAATTAAGGTTAGCTTCAATATTATTTTCTTGGAGAAGGGTTATGTTCCCTTACAAGTTTATTCAGACACACATAAATAATAAAAGGTAAGTGTTACCATGCGCTGGATAGTTTTATGGCAACTTGACACAAGCTAAAGTCATCTAAGAGGGGGGAACCTCAATTAAGAAAATGCTTTCATAAGATTGGGCTGTAGGCAGGACAATAAGGTATTTTCTTAATTAGGGATTGCCGACGGAGGGCTCAGTCCATTGTGAGTGGTTCCGTCCCTGGACTGGTGGTTCAGGTTCTGTAAGAAAGTAGGTTGAACAAGCCATGAGAGCAACCCAGTGAATAGCACCTCTCCATGACTTCTGCATCAGCTCCTGTCTCCTGGATCCTGTCCTGTTTAAGGTCCTTTCCTGGCTTCCTTTGATGATAAACAGTAATATGGACGTATAACCCAAATAAATCCTTTCCTCTCTGTCTTAGTCAAGGTTCTGTTGCAGAAATGAGACCATGACAACACTTATAAAAAGAAAACATTTAAGTGAGACTTGCTTACAGTTTTAGAGGTTTAATCCTCATGGCAGAGAAGCTTGATGACACGCAGGCAGGCATGGTAGCTGAGAATTCTAGAGCTGAATAGAAGGCAGAAGAGCCTGGGACTGGCTTGGCCTTTTGAAACCTCAAATCCCACCTACAGTGACACACACCTCCAACAAGGCCATACCACTTCTCAGTGACCACACATTTGAATATATGAGCCAATGGTGTCCATTCTTAGTCAAACTACCATACCCCCAACTTGCTTTTTGGTCATGCTGTTTCATCATAGCAATATACACCTTAACTAAGACAAGTTGAAACCAGAATTGTGGGGTATTGCTGTGACTGACCTGAGCATATTGTTGTTTAAGGGGATGGGGAGTGTGCGGTAGAACTTTAGAATTTTGGCCAAGAAGATCCATTGAGTGTTCAATGCTTGGTGAGTTGTTCTATAGGAGCTTGGACAATAAGAATGTTGAGGGCAAAACAGATGATGGAGGGAGGCCTGGCTTGTGAAGATTCAAAGGGCCAATTAAATACTAGGGCCATTTGTTATTTTGAATTAAGATTCTGTGGTCTGGTTAGCTTCAATTGAAGAATCAGATGTGATTAACAAGATACCAGAACTATTAAAGTGAAACCTTGGTTTTGGTGGAATACTTGATGCTGGTTGGCTGGAGCTAAGAAATTAGCGGTGATTAAGAAGAGACGGGCATCACTGAGGTGAAATCTTTTGGGAAGTGTTTCTTGAGAGTCAGCAAACACAGGCTGTGTTCCAGAGATGGCCAAGGTTGTACCTCACACTGACAGCTGAACTTGTTACTGTGGTACTGGTTTTGAAGACATAATGGGGGTCATGAAAAGCAGTTGAAATTTGGAACTGTGAGAAGCCAGGAGTGGCCGCTGGTGAAGATGCAGCCTCAGCAGCAGTTGAAGGCCTGGCATTGAAATGGTCAGGCAGAGAAGTTGAGGCTTGGCCTCATGAAGACAGTCGGTTGGAGGTTATTGGTGAAAATTGCAGCCCAGTGGCAGCAGAAGACCCCAGTGTTTTGGAGATGCCAATACCATGGGATGACCATTGAGAACAGGCAGTTGTGGAGTGGAGCCAACTTGCAGCCTACAAGATGAGCTGTGTGTGGCAGAGGGTAGACACAGAGAAGTGACCAAGCCCTTTGGAGGAGTCCAGAAGATTGTGAGCGAAGCCCAGACATTGAACATTGATTTCACTTATAGAGTTTGCTTTGATTTGATTAAAAATGTGCCCTGTTTCTTCCCTCTAGAAGAAAGTATTTATTTTTGATTTTATAGCAACCCATGGCTGAGACACTTTTAAGAGATCGGCCATTTTAAAGAGCCTGAGCTTTTAAATGTTTAAATTTGTAAAGACTGGGGAATTTTTTTAAGTTATTTATATTTTAAAATGAGATCTTTCAGATGAATGAGAAAGGAAGGGATGTGTCTTAACCATGATGTGTTGTTTTTGAATCAAGTTGACAAGGGAACAATTGTGCTGGGTAGTTTTATGTCAACTTGACACAAGTCATCTGGAAGGGCAGAACCTCAATAAGAAAATGCCTCCACAAAATTGGGCTGTAGGCAAGCCTGTAGGACATTTTCCTATTAGAGATTGATGGATGAGGGTCCATCATATGGTGAATGATGCTGTTCCTTGCTGGTGGTTCTAGGTTTTATTAAGAACACAGCTGAGCGCTATGAGAAGCCAGTAATCAGGACCCCTCCATAGCCTCTGCATCAGTTCCTGCCTCCAGGTTCCTGATGTTTGAATTCTTGTCCTGACTTCCTCCAATGATGAACACTGATATGGAAGTATAAGCCAAATAAACCCTTTACTTCCCAAACTGCTTTTGGTCAAGGTGTTTAATGGCAGTATATTAATTATGCAAATGGGCTTCATATTTTCATCCATGAATATTGTGTATTTTGTTTATCCAGTACCCTCTTAACCCCCTCCACTCACCCACTTCCTCTTCCCCATTCTTCTACTTGCTTGTCTTCTTTGGTGACCGCACGAGCTTAGTTAGGGTTTTGATAAAGGGTTTCCTGCATGCACCTCTCAAGTGCTGAGTTTCAGATGAACTCTGACTCTGGTCAATACTGATATGCTTGTTTGCCCATCTGTAAAATTGTGCTATTAGTTCCTCTCTAGGTTCTGAGAAAAAATGACTGTATACTATGCCAATAACCACACCCGGTGTAGTTTGTACACGGAGATTCTATAGTGAGACAATAAACACTTAGCTCCCTCAGAGACAACTTGTCAGCTTCCTAAAATGATTAAGTTCAAAAAGCTGCAACTGACTTATCAGATTAACACTAGCTTTATCAGCGAAACTGTTCATTCACATTGTTCAGTTTCCAGTTGGTTAAGTGTGAAATTCAGTGTTAAAGACTCCACATCAAGAACTGAGATGTTATATGAACATCTAGCTCAGCTGTGTTGCCAAGGGATAATTTAAGAAAGTGACTTATACTTAATTATACTGGAAATTCAATAGGAAGCACATGACAGGTTGTTAATTTTCTCTTCACAGGAAGAATCATTGTCAATCTTTTATGAAACTACTTTAGGATGCTGGCTCATTAAGAATCAATTGGGGGACATTCAGATGGTAACGGTCTCACCTCCAAGCCTGACCACTTGAGTTGAAGCCCCAGCATCCAAATGGTACAAGGAGAGACTCAACTCTACAAAGTTGTCCTGTGATTTTTTTTTTTTTTTCCCATGCAATGCTACCCCACATAAATAGAAAGTAGATTAGTAAATTAGGGGTAGGCTATTTCTGTGGCTGCGCACTTGCATAGAACACACAAGGCCCTGGGCTGAGGTGTGTGTAACCAATTAAATTTATAACCAGTTCCTAAGTTCTTTAAGGTAACGATTGAAACACTCATGCTACGCTTCTCAAGTAGATACTGCATGGTCCTATTCAGTTCTGTTCCAATCCTTTAGCACTTATCAAATTTCCCAAGGCAAAAATAACTGAGTGTACCTTGAAACATGCCTCTAAACTTAAATGGACATAATCAGCTTCCCATTACTGACTTTATCCTTCTCTGAGAAATTATTCTATTTTGAATATTAAATGTCTCTGAAAATAAAATGTAGTTACATAAAGTATTTTCACATTTTCTCTTACTATCAGACTTGAGACAAAAACATTCAAACAGCCACCCTCCCACTGCAGCAAACTGGGTTTTGTGGTAAACTGTCAACTTCCATCTTATTTTATTATTGATGGAAGCATGTGATGCCAAAGTGACGAAGGTAATTTTACACACCCAGAATTCTCTAAGTACTGAACCTTACCACCAATCTTAAAACCAAACAGACAACATTTCAAATGACTAACTTTTAAATGAATGGGATGAAAAACAGGCCCCAGCTGATGACTGAAGCTGTTCATCAGTACTCAGATATTTCTCTGAATGCTTCTGGTACAGCAGTTATAAGTTCGAATCTTCAAAACACAAAGGCAGATTGTGGGTGAAAAGCTCCCACAGCCTGTCCCACAGTCCTAAGCCGGAAAGAAACAAGACAAGTAAGACTTTTTGTTAACCAAATGGATTTATACGAAGTTTTCACAGATGTTACATCAGATCTCTTTCATCATCCCGCCTGTGGTTTCACTAACTGCTTAAAGAGTTTTAGACCCATCCAGGTTAAACATACTGGCGTGGCAGTAAGAGCAGACTGTAAAAGCAAAGCCTGGCTGTGCTGGTGCAGCCCTACGGGAAATTCTCCAGAAAGCAGATCAGACAGTCCTGCTAAGGAGAGGAGTGGGAGAACAGGCAGGCAGGCAGGCAGAGGTGAATCACTGTTCTTGCCCTTCCCTGTTAAAGGTACACAGTATTAGAAGTCAGTAGTTAGGCTTTTAACAATCATGGTCTAATGTTGCTCAACTTCTTCTTGCTTCTTATTTTGACGTATTGTCCTTGCTGCCTGTGGTATCATATTAGGGATCCCATCAATGATTGGATACGCTATTCCCAACTCTTCATTAATCAACTCATTTGTCGATGCTTCATATCTGAGGAAGAAAAAGAACATAATGAACTATGGGAAATCAAAGGTCAGAAGAGTTTGATAATAAAGAACACCTATCTAATTCTTGGTACAGAGTAATTCCTCCAATAGTTTTAGTCTTATATGCACTAAGTCAAACCAACCATTTCTTTTGGAAATCATCTTACAACCTGTAGTTTTTTCCATTGGAATCAGTATATCTCATATTATCTTTTATAAAGTTCATTCCCAAGTTATGCCTTAACCTTTTCATACCAGCTAGAAAAAAATGTCTACATTTCAAGCCAGTATTCCTTCCTTGCTATGGTCAACCCCAAGTCACTCTGAAGGGGGGGAGGGGCGGAGAACTTCCTCTGTTGATCTAAATGCTAGAGGGATTTATATAAGACAACAGAAAGAAATAACTAAGAATCAAAACATGCAAAATAAAAGCCTGAAGATGATCAGGTGGTGGTGGCGCACGCCTTAATCCCAGCACTCGGGAGGGAGGGGGAGGGAGGAGGGAGAGAGGGAGAGAGGGGAGAGAGGGGGGAGAAAGGGGAGGGGAGAGGAGAGGGAGGGGAGAGGGAGGGAGGGGACAGAGGGTAGAGAGGGGAGAGAGAGGGGAGAGAGAGGGGAGAGAGGGGAGGGAAGAGAGAGAGGGAGGGGAAAGGGGAGAAAGGAGAGAGAGAGAGGGGAGGGGAGACAGAGAGACTAGATAGACCTTGTCTCAAGGAAGGAAGGAAGGAAGGAAGGAAGGAAGGAAGGAAGGAAGGAAGGAAGGAAGGAAAGAAGGTCCAGACGCTGACCCTGTGGTTCAACAAGCTCTGGAGACGCCAGCCTGGGAAACCCTCTTCCTTGAAGGTCTCCAGGATTGACGGTCCAGAGCAGTCACCGGAGAGCACAAGAAACGCGCTGCTTCCGTCGTGGGCGGGACTGACCCCAGCGGGGGGGGTGTGTGGCCTGGCCCCCCGCCGCTGGGAGGGGGCTCCGGGCGCGCTGGCTGTGGCCACGGGGCCAGCACGGTTCTCCGGGGCCACAGGTTGAGTCTCACCTAAGCGGCTTCTTGGAGAGCGGGCACACCAGGCACCGCAGCAGCTCCGGGTGGAAGGTGCGGGGCTCCTCCGCCCGGCCACCCTGGTCCGCGAAGGACCTGACCCCAGGCGCGAGCAGACACCTCCCGGCGACCGCAGACGGTGCGCGCGGACCCCGCAGCGCCGGGCCGAGCCTGCGGCACGCGGCGCTGAGCATGGCCGCTCCCACAGCCAACCGGGCCTCGATCCGACCCCTCTTCGGCTTTCCCGGCACCGACTCGCCGGTCACCCTGGCCAGGGCCGGCCCCGCCCCTCTGTGTTCTGCGGAATGCAGCCCCCGCACAGCCGGCGCTGACGTTGTGGTTCCGGGAGCGTGACTGACGTTCCGGGGTCAGTGGCTACACCATGCCTGTTACGAAACTGTAAACTAAACCAGTGCTCATTCTGTGTCCAACTTTTCTGCAAGGATAATCACAGATGCCAAGGGCCGGAATCCAGTCATACAGCGCTAGTCTTCGACTTGGGCAGCCGGCTGTCTTCAGAGTCTTCAAACACAGGCATATTGAGTGTGTTAGAAGCAACAGCTTGTTTAGTGTTAATTGTACAGTATCAGTTTTTGTGACCTTCTTTGCTTTCCGTCCCCATTCAAATATTTAAGAACCTGGAAAGAATGACTCTGTTCTCTTACTCTGTAACTGTGAAGGGTTTTTATAACCTAGGCTTGTTAATTGTAAATACCACGATAAAGAACAACTAGTTCATTCCCACAGAGAGCCAGGGGTTCTCAACCTGTGAGTCAAGACCCCTGTGGGGCAAGTGACCCTTTCACTGGGGTCGCCTAAGACCATCAGAAAACATATATTTACATTACAATTCATAGCAAAATTACAGAAATGAAAATAATTTTGTTACATCTATATATTTTGTTACATAAGACATATGTGTATATATCTTATGTCACGACAACATAAAGAACTGTATTAAAATGTCACAGCATTAGAAATGTTGAGAACCACTGCTGTAAGTGAACCTGAAGGCTGCTCACTTAGTCAAATAGTCCACTAGGATTATTCAGTGGGTCTTTATCCCAATTTTGCATGGAAGTGATACCTGTTTGATTTTCCTTATACAGTAGTGAAGTAGACAAGAACTTGCACCCAGACAACTCATAAGCCAGGCAACTCAATCTATTTATTGGTATAATAAAATAGTTCAGTTTCCATATTGGTATAGTAAGATTAAGAATTGTCTGGAGTATGAACTGAAATGCCTTATCTATTTAAGATTCTACAAGACTAGCCTAGTGTGGTGGTTCTCACATTTAATTCCAGAAGTCAGAAAGCAGAGGCTGGCAGATCGCTAAATGTGAGCGTGTGAGGCTAGCATGAGCAACACAGAGAACCCTGTATGTAGTGAACTATTGTGTAGGGAAGCTTTCCTGGGTCTGGCACTCATGAGGGGCCTTAGCTGTTCGTGGGGAACCACATGGCTACTGAAAACTTGTCTTTGCTCTTCCTTAGAGCCCTCAAGAATTATAAACATTTTCCCTCAAAGCTTTGTCACTATATGTGACATGTGAGGGAAGGGACATGGGTGTCAGGAACAGGACCTCCCTTAGCTGGACTGTTCAGGAAATGACAACTCTGACCTTACAAATACCCCCTTCTGCACACCCTTTCCCAGGCCCAGGCTCCCCCATATTCCTGAGTGTGTGCAAAGCTATCTACTATCTGTAAAAGACACTGGCTCTTTAGGTCCCCCAGATGATGTGGAAGTGTGGAAGAAAATGGCAAAGAATGTTAACAGTAAGGGTGGGGGTGGGACTCAGCAGAAGACTTGCCTAATGCGTGTTAAGCTCTGAGTTCCAGTCCCAGCACTGAAATAAAGTAAATTGCAGCCAAAAAATTCACAGCCATGAGCATGTCTGTGTGTAGGTTGAGAGCTAACTGCACTGATTTCTTGCTTGGTGAACCTTACATGGATGCTGCAAACACAGGGGTGTTTCCTAACTGTTGTCAATAAGGGAAGCAATTTTAGAGCATCTTCCAAAAGCAACAGGGGAGGGTCCATCAGTTGTAGCAGAAACCACTCACTTACTGGGTTTAGGGCGGGTTCAGTCACACGTGCCTTTAATCTTAGCACTGAGGAGGCAGAGACACACAGATCTCTGTAAGTTTGAGATCTACAGTCTAGACTACAGAGCAAGTTCCAGGACAGCCAGGCCTACATAGAGAAACCCGGTCTCAAAAAACCAATGCCCCCAAACCCAAAACAATAACAACAACAACAAAAACGCAAACCAAACTAAAACAATAACACTGGGGTTAATTACTCTGAAGTCAGACTGCTGTGTTCAGAGCATCTGGGATGATTCTCCTTCTGTGTGCTCACTTTCCATGGCTAAGGAGGGGGTGGTATCTAATTTCACTACCAAAATTGTTTTAGCTCCCAATCCCACCTTCTCATCTTAAATCCCACTCCTTAGTCTTCTCAGCCTGGAGGCTACGGTCAGGGAAGCTGCAGGATACTGTTATCCTAGTGGCCAAAAGTGCCCTTGCAGTGATCCACTGGCTGCACCATGGGCCTTTCTGTCCTGATGATCCTTAGGACTCTGGCCACTGTCCTCTCAATTAGATCCCCCTACTACACCAAGGGATTAGGTCCTTCCCTGTTGAGGATCCACCCTCTCTGTGGCTGATATGCTTCTTACAAGAAATTAAATGTCAAGTCAGGTATTTTGAGGGATTGTGGCATCAAATCATCTGGTTATAGAAGTATAGGTGTTAGTATTCAGGCATCTGTACTGACCTGTCCTTGGGGTTCTGACAGGATATGGCTTCAGCTGCCCCACTAAGAGCACCTCCTGTGCATATTCACTATGTTCCCTTTTAAAAGGACCCTGCCCAGCTCCCATCCTCCTCCTCCTCCTCCTCCTCCTCCTCTCCCTCCTCCTCCTCTCCCTCCTCTCTCTCTCTCTCTCTCTCTCTCGCTCTCTCTCTCTCTCTCTCTCTCGCTCTCTCTCTCTCTCTCTCTCTCGCTCTCTCTCTCTCTCTCTCTCTCTCTCTCTCTCTCTCTTCCTCTCTTGTCTTTCTCTTGCTCTGCGCTTTTCTTAAATTACAATAGGAGACCTAGACTTGATTGAATCCATGCAGGGACAAGAGAATAATGTGACCCAAAGAAAAAACAAAGGAGGAAACTGGGAGGTGACGGGAGACTGAGCCATGGGTCCATGTGCAAATCCCACTACTTGCTCTGGCCTCTACCCTGGACAGGCTGGATTGCACTCATTGCTCCCTGTTAACAGGTAGTCTAGGTAGAGAAAGATCAGTCCTGACTCAAGACATCTCTGTCTTTCCTCCTTCATCTCATGGTAGATAGGACAAACTGGCTCCAATATTCTTCCTATGTCTCCAGTCAGAGGTCTTCTCAAACAGTGCTCAGAATTAGACCCTGGGATACTCAAACCAAAACCTCTGCACTCCTTCTGTCAGAAGGCAAGGCTCCAAGCTGATGACAAAACAAAACAAAAACAAAAGCCACCTCAGTGGACCCTCAGTTATAATACTATTGGTCAAATGGATCAATTCTGTAAAAAAGAGAGAAAATAGCTCAAGGTCCCGTATGTTCAACTTTTACTTTTAAAGACCACTCAAAATTGGGTCACAGTTATCAGCTAGATTCCACTATTTTAATGGTCTATGGTTCTGCTTCCCTACCTCTGAAATAAAGTGATCACATACATAATCAAATAACCCTGCCACCTGAGTCCTCACTCCCTGGTTCCTACAAAAGCCATATATTACACTCTGGCCACCCTGGCTCTCCTGGAGCCTTCTCCACCATACACTGAAGGACCTTGGGGAGAGTTCAACCCAAAGCTCCCAAGCCTCATCTCCAGAGGCCCCTGGAAGGCTTCCTTTGGAGAAGATGATGGGAAAATTCAGGCCCTCCTATGGTAACAGTGTCTTCTCAATAGCAGAGCTTAAATAACACAAGGAATGTGCTTACCAAGTCCTGCTCTGGTATTGCCCACCCAGCCCTGGTTTTCCCTGTGTGTTATCAAGAAAAAGGAACGTCCCTGGGAAATCTGATTTAGCTGATAGGATCCATGCCACAAACAGTGAGATATCTTAGCAAGGACTTGAACTAGTGGCTAAGGGATGGCCAGGATGCCTAAGGGCAATCAAAGCCACAGTGTTCCTGGTCCCTGGATCACATAAATTAACCCCGGGAAATCACCTGACTGTATGTACCCTCGCTGTATATACCAACATTGGGGATATACTTAACTCAAAAGGACACTCATGGCAGTTGGGCAGCAAAATAGTGAACTATCAAGCTCATCTAACAGAAGGGCCAGAGATGACATTTCCGGTCTGCCCCTCCCTCAATCCTGCTACTTACCTTCCTGATGGGGAAAATCTTGAGCATGTATACCCGGAGGTCTTGCTAGAAGTCTGTGCTTCTAGTCCTGACCTTAAAGACCAATCTATAGAAATCTCCACCCTCCAACTGTTGATTGGAGTTCATCCATTCAGGATAGAATTAATAAGGTAGGAAATGAATGCTCAACAGAATACTAGACTCTTTTCTTTTTTGGTTTTTCGAGACAAGGTTTCTCTTTTGCTTGGAGGATGTCCTGGAACTTGCTCTGTAGACCAGGCTGGCAGATCTCACAGAGATCTGCCTGCCTCTGCCTCCCGAGTGCTGGGATTAAAGGCATGCACCACCACTACCCGGCCAGAATACTAAACTCTTGAACCCAACATCCTCCACGTTAATACTGCTTTTCTAGTTCAGAGTTCCAAAGTCTATATTCCTCCAAAACAACAACAACAACAACAACAAAACAAAACAAAACAACAACAACAAAACCATGGTCTGGTTCTTTACAGTAATAGCAACTTCTACATTAGTTACTTTTACATTGAGGTGATAGATCACCATGACAAAGGAAATTCATAGAAGGAAGGAGGATTTTTTTTTCAGGGCTTACAGTTCCAGGGCATAAGAGCTCATTATGACAGGGAAGCAAGCTTTCCTTCATGGTTCCTGCTTCTGCTGATGCTGGAGTTCTTGCCCTGATCTCCCTGTGTGATGGAAAGTGATCAGGAAGTGTAGCCAGGTTCATTTCCAGGTTGATTTTGGTCATGGTGTTTATCTCAGAAATGTGAAACAAACTGATAATTATCTGGTACCATACACTCATACAGCTATCTGGAAGGAAACTGGTATTATTAACAATCTTTGTGAACCCTATAAAACAGTACAAGAAAATTCTAAATCTAATAAAGGCAGTTCTGCTGCAGGCTTTCTAGCCAAAGATAAGGAACCCCAAGGCTTTCTTACCAAAAAGCAGTTTATTATGTTGTCAGGCTTCTAGCAAATTATTATCCAAATGCCAGAGCTCTGAAAGTTACAGGTGTGAGGCTTTTACACATTTTTTTTTTTTTTGCTTCTCTGTCTTCTGTATATGGCTACGTACATTCTGATTGGACATTTTATAGTACTTGGCAGTAATAGTAGAGTGACTGAAAGACCCCCAGATGCTCAGGCACCCAGGATCTCAGCCCAGGACCTCAGCCACCCCAATCACCAGGTGGAGGCAAAAACTTGATGCAAACAGCAAGAGGTTTTATTGCAGTTGTTTCACGAGCCAACCCCTTTTTAGCTTGGACCTTTCATCCATCCACCATGGCAGATGGCTAGGAAAGACTCCTCGAAGCCATGACATAGAGATCTTATAGGGCAGCATAAGGGGAGTGTCTACAGGGGACGCACAGGCTCAGGATTGGTGTGCCTCCAGACTTGGAGAGTTTGCCCTGTGTTGATTGGTCAGCTGGTTGTTATGGCCCATAGGCCCTCCCAGGGTGGTTGCTACACTCTGCACATCATTGCTGTGCGCTTGTCAGTAAAGCACACCCAGAGCCGTAAAGCATAGCACCACCAGCTAACTTCTGATTGGTTCCTTGCCACGAGGCAGGCATCTGACCTCCTAGTGACCAAGGCAAGGTCAGGCAAACATGTGCTAGGCTGTTATGACTGCTGAAATGGGGGAGCTGGTCCCTTCATGATGAGGGGAAAGGAGGAGGACTTCAGGAAGGAAGTGGTCAGTCCACTTAGGGAAACTGACCATCCTGAACTTACACATGGATTGATCAACTTACATGGCTGTTTCCTGTTTCTTTCCACTTAGTCCTCAAATGCCCTCTCTTTCCCCTACCACATGCCCTCCTTTGATGCTCCAACCCATGTTAGTATCAAATAGCATCATTTTGAATTTTTAAAAAACCACAATGGGGTGGCCATCTACTGCCTCCTTCCCCCTGCAACTTCTGTAAGGTTGGAGAGAAACCTGTGTCAAGGGAAAACATTCTTTCAGAATCGCAAGTATAACACAAAGATTTTAAATCCTCCAAAAGTTGAAAACCATTTTCTAAATAAACTGTCTGGGTTTTAGCCATTTTAGATTTGGACTGGTAGGTGGGCCATTTTTGCTTAGCTTATGATCTCTTAATGATCTTTTAATATTTATTTGGAACAAGCAGTTGTTTAGATGTATTTATGGCTCCACATCCATCAAAAGATAATATCAGTTGTAATGCTTACTGTTGAGGGTATGATCAACAGTGTTGTTGATCCTTCTGATGGGTCTTCTAGACTGCTTGATAATTTTATCTGAGAGAGTATATTGTAGGTCAAACCATATGTATTGTTATCCTTTGTTGTTGATACAGAACACATGATTTAATTATGCCTACTAGTTTTAGAACTCTTTCCGCAAAGGAAAAATGAATATGGTGATATCCTGTCCTAACAGAGTGATGCAATGTGTGAATAATAGGAGGAGAACTCTATGAAATTACAGAAGGGAAATACTCTTTGTTCACAGACCAGCCAGAGAAAGAACTGTCTCCCAATGATTTCACAGTTGTGTAGACTTGCCAGGCCACCTTGCTGAAGACAGAGAAATAGACAGTAAGATGGGCCAGTGACAGGTCAGGCTACACCTGGACCAGGGCTGCTTAACAAGACATACAAATTTTGAGTCTACTACTTAAACCTTGGGTCAGGAATTGAACAGGTGTGTGTGTGTGTGTGTGTGTGTGTGTGTGTGTGTGTGCCTGTGTTTGTCATTGCTTCTCTTTGTCCCACAGTTGTGTGTGTGTGTGTGTGTGTGTGTGTGTGTGTGTGCCTGTTTGTGTTTGTCATTGCTTCTCTTTGTCCCTCTTCCCAATGTAGGCACATTAAATCTCCACTTTCCACTTTTCACTGTTGTCTCTTAATTGGATATTAAGGCTGGTGGCAGTGTCTAGCTAGTTAGGGCTGCTGGGGTGTAGGGTGTGACTCTTAAAACTCTGATCTTAATTTCCATGATAATGGTCTGTGTGTGTGTGTGTGTGTGTGTGTGTGTGTGTGTGTGTGTTGCATATATGACAAAGGATGGGCATGAGAACCTAAACCTTCTTCTCACTTTACTCCATTCTGAGGCCAAAGGCGGGAGTGACTGACATCTTCGATTTCTGGTGGTGTTCCATATTGCCACCTTCGGCACTATAGCCACATGTTCCTTGCTTGAACTCTGGAAATTACACAATTGGGCTGCTCAGGGATTCTTGGCTTTCTTGCCTACTAACTTGACTTCTCCAGGGACAGAAACATTTTGTCACCAAGCAATAATGTTTATTAAATGAAAGACGATTGGAATACTATTTCCTTTTAAGAGGAATCATTACTCAGATTTGTTTCCAGGCAAACGGTGCGAAAAGCACAGAGCCAATAAAGGCTGTGAACTTACACACTGTGACTATTGAAATGCAAAGATCTGTTTGCTTGTGTCCTCTTTGCCATCCATGTTATTCCGCTGGCCATTTATGTTAATCTCGTGATCATGGGACTCTGTGGTCTATAAAATATTTAGATGATTAATAAGCATTCTTCCATATTAATTCTCGTTACCAAAGATGTGCATGTACGCAAAACCCAGAGAATGAAAATAAAACATAACAAAACAAAAAGCCTGTGGCTCCTCCTCCAAGCAACCCCCCTCCCAGTGGTGATGAATGGGAGGGACTGTATGCCCCCCTCCCTCGAGAGGCTATCCTTTCACTGTTTTAGGCCGTTTTGAAATTCTTTTCTTTAGAAGAGATTTTATTGTTTTGTTTTTTAATCAAACAAAGCAATTGCTGTTCCTGTGATTGGCGCACGACCAGGGGCCGAGGACACGGACGGGCGGCAAGGCTGGGCTGGTGAAAATGCAGTCAGTTTGGTGATGGAGCGTCTGAAGATGCGCTTTTCCCCGGTCTGCGAGCCGCTCACACTTTGAATGAACCCATCTTTCCAGGCTTTCCCTACCGGAACGGGAGCTTGGCGGGCGAGCGGTTCTCTCTAGAATCTCTCGGTAGGACACAGCCACCGGAGAGACGACGGTAACCGGGAGACTCGG